ACGGGAGTAGAAAGCCTCATCTTTCTCCCGCGGAGCAGCTGGTAGTTTCGAACCGCTGACCTTAAGGTTCGCAGCCCGATTCGTAACCACTACGCTACAATGGGTTCAAATAAAACCACTGTGAGGTTGATGGAGATCTGGGCAATGTTTAGTTCTGTAGTGCAAAGGATTGCTATGAGTCAGAACTGATTAAATGGCAGTTAACAATAACAAAGTTCCCATGATTCTCTTGTATACCCTCACCTGGGGATTTTGTTAAAATGTAGATTCTGGTTCAGCTTATCTCTGGTAGAAATGCAAATTCTCAGCAGGAAGTCGAACTGATTTCAAAGCCCTGATTTTAACTGAGGCTGAATCTCAGCAATTAGCATTGCAAAGTTACGGCTAAGCTTTCTACCCTTTGATTTATTCTTGATAAAGTAAGGCTGTCAGGAATTTAGGGGTACTAGGAATTTAGGGTTCCAAGTATGGGTCGGAGGTGTCCTGGTGTGGTGCTGTGGGTTAATGGGCCAGACTGCAAAGCCGTTTGAACTGCAAGGTCAGTGGTCCAAGCTCACCAGCTGCTCCTTGGAAACCCTATACAGGGTCGCTGTGGATCGGAATGGACTCGACAGCACTTCACAACAATAGCAACAGTATGGGTCGGACCCGACTCTACTCTACTACACATAACAGCAACAACAACAAGTAATGTGCTGGATTGCAAAGTCAGCTTGACCCACAAACTGCTCCTCAGAAACGCTATACAGGGTCACTGTAAATCCAACCAACTCAAAGACATGTAACAACCAGAAGTTAGTCTTGGTGTGACACTGTAGAATAAAGCACTGGACCGCAGCGCAAAGTGATTTGAACCACAAGGTCAGCGGTTCAAACTCACCAGTCGCTTCTTGAAACCTTTCTTCAGGGTTCCTATGAGTCCGGACTTTTGGTGTGGCGCTGCCGATTAATGCGGTAAACCGCAACGTCAGTTTGGGCCGTTAAGGCCGGCAGTTCCAACTCATCAGCTGCCCCTTGGAAACCCTGTACAGGGTCGTTATGAGTTGGATCCCGACTCCAAGGCACTTAGCAACAAAGCAATAAAATGAGTCAGAATGGGCCTGGTGTGGCGCTGTGGGTTAATGCGTCAGACTGCAAAGCCTTTTGAACTGCAAGGTTGGCAGCTCAAGCTCACACCAGCT